GAGAACATTTTTTATGCAAACATCATTACAGTAAGCATATTGATCACGTATACATAATTTACTATGCATGCGCAGTTTTTGCTTATATCAAAATCAAGCCGACAAGGATGTTTTATAGGTGAGAATCAATGCGTGAGCGAAAAAAAATCCTACCGGTTCAACTGATCCATCATTTTGACTTACATCCTCCTGAAATGCCAAAGTACTCCAACAAAGACCTCAAACGAGAGGTTTGCCAAAGTTTGTTAACTCACCCAATCTTCGCTTTTTGCCAAATCTGTTCCATTTTCTTGTTTGTGATTAGCATCCTGAAATATAGGAGTTTGTTTTGCACAAAGTCTGTGTAAAAACTTTACTACACGCTTATTCTAGAAGATGGGAGATGGAGCCAGAAGATGTCACATAAAGATATTTTCAAACCTTTTCTTTATTCTCCATCATGCCCCCTTCGAGTGTAAACGGTCAGCTAGGGAAAAGGGTAAGGGGATGGCGAGGGGAGGGGGGGGGGATCGGGAAATCATCGTACACCACTGGGACTGTTTCTGGCAAAAGAAAAAAAATGAGTTTGGCTTTTCCAAGCTATACTGAAAAAGGAGTACCGTCTTCTTGTCTATACAATATTCGTCTTCTTGTAATTTCACGATTCCCAGCGATTCTCAGTAAGTTTCGTTGAGTTACATATCGCATAGTCAAGCACTATTTACAGAATTTTCAAAATTACACGATTTTGAAGATGCTTTTGATTAACGATCTTATGTCGGTCGAAGTAGTCGTTTTCCCTAACTACTCTCAATTTTACCTTTTGCGGGTCGCCTGCATCGCGCCTTGCTGGAGCTGCTGCTGCCAGTAACAGTATCTAAAAAAGTACGTAATGGTCTGTTTGAATGAGAAAACAGAAGAAACAGCAGTACACTTACTGTTCCGAGAACAAAGAGCTTCAACATTCACAATGAGTCGTTGAAAAGGTGAGTCCGACTTTCGCGGCCACTTGCGAGTATTATATAGTAGGCAAAGGCCATCCACGAACCCTTAGCTAACAGTTCCACAGAGCTTGACCGGTTGACAGTTTATACTGTTCCAGTAGGTTGACCTCGAAGCTTTGCACAGCTAACAGGTAAGGATACTCGGTGACCGTGGCCATTTGGAATGCAATGTATACCATAAGATACATCTCAAAACGCTGATTCTATTTTTTCGTAGAAAATCGGCTTACTTTTGGGTGGTTAAAATTACCAGTTTGTCATAGGTAACTGTTTGAAGCTATTTGAAAGAATTTTAAAAGGAGTGCTGTTATATTTATACGGTGCTGTTATATTTATACAAGTCTGAATTTTATTTAGCTTTTGAAAAGTAAAAAAAAATTTAGCAATGATTTTGACCCTCCGCTGTAGCGCAATTTATTCATGATAAAAGATAATAATCGTAACTCCATCCAAGTTATCGTTTCGCAGATATGGAAGACAGTATTCAAATCAGCATTAATGGGCGCATTTTTTGATTTGCAGATCATTATGAACGGCCACGGTCACCAAGTATCCTCCCCCCCCCCCTCCCCTTGTAAGCAATCTAGGTGAGTGTTCAACAAGAGATGGAATTGAAGTCCTTTTCGAGTACTATACTGCTCACAGAACGAGCAAAATTTCCGTGAATGTGGGGGAATTTCCGGAATTTTGCGACTTTACGAAAATTTTGAATGTTTTTGTAAGCGGTGTTGTACTTGTGGCTAATCATCGTAAATCACATGCTGTGAGTGAACTTCGCATACTATTTGCTCAACTTTCGTCTCGGATTTGCTCATGAACTCGGTGCTTGTGTGACCATCATCAGAAATGACATAGAAGGGCACTACAAGCTATTCTAGGAAAAGCATCTATACTTCTTGTTATATTCGTCGAGCATCTTTCCTTACCTCCGCCGCTTTATTTGAGGCAAGTATTGATAGGCATCATGCATTGAGCGGCTAAATTCCAAATTTAAACAATTAGAAATTGCATAAGCATTTGAACGTTTAAAAAAATATTTTCCACGCTTTTCTATGTGTTCCTCTGTCTTCCTCTATAACAAGTCTTACCCAATTCACGATTTGATGAAATTCTGAAGGTGATCGAGCAAGCCTTCGACAACCATCTTCTGGTTTCTCCTCTTTTTTGTTTTCTGAACCCGCATGTAGGCACCAAATCGGATAAACTGGTCAAGCCAGAGAAATAACATTGGGATTGACATAGTAATGCCCTAAAGGACTCTACGAAACACCCTGGACTTCTAAGCAAGTATCATCGCACCACTTCGTAGGCCCTTCCCCTTGTTTAATCTACCACATTCTGGGCGGGCTACGTTACACAATCAAATATTTGGAATCTTAACCTACGGCCAAATCAAACGGTCAGTGAGTGTTCTCAAAGTGGTCGAGTTACCAAAAATTTGGCCAATCAAACTAATCTGCTATCCGTCAACAAAACGCAAACTCAACTCAAACTCGTAAATTTGTGGAGATATTTCGAGTACGCATTCATTGCCAAATTTCTTCAATATTATTCCATTTTTGGACGGAAGTCTTATAGAAAAACCGTGAATAGCCATTTTTACTTAATTTCATCGATTTGTTCCCAATTCTATGGCCCCCGTAGCACTGTTAGTGAAGACAGCGTATAAGATGGATTTATGTAAAAAAAATTTAAAAAGAAAAAATAAAAAGTCTCAACTTTTTTTTCTACTTTTCAACATATAAAAAGTTCTGCGTGGTAAAGGAGTATGCTGCAAGGTTCAATGTAAAAGGTTCACTGGAAATTTCTACTCCTGTCTTTTGTTTCATCAATTTCTTATGGTGCTCAGCCTGAGATGAAGCTACGAGCAGCAACAAATAGAAAACTTTGTGTATATTCAGAAATACGACATGTCTTACTTAGCAAGCGCAAGAAGTACCAGCATTTATACTGGGTGAAGATCTTGTTGTTTTATCGGTCAGCTTAAATACGCGTACAGGTTTACTAATAATAGTCATCATGTCTTAATTGCAAAAGATTCCTGACTTGAACAATGTCTAAATAAACCACCTTTATTGGTAAATTCTGGTTTGTTGCTTTCTTTCCTGAGGTTAGCGCACAACTGTTCAAACGTTTTTGTTGGATAAAGTATAGTGGCCGTATGCACAATACGGTTCAGCTTTTTATGTGTATGTCATTTTCTTGATGTACAATTGAATCTGAAAATTGTGTATGTAAACAGCGGCAAAAGCAGCAATGTAGCGCAGTATATTCATAAAACTCAAAATTTCTTCTGGGATTATGTGTTGGCTCTCAGTGATTGTCAGGAAAATCAAAAGTATACAAATCTGTACTTCATAGACTTCCTCTCAGCTTCAACTAACATTGAACTTATCCTATATGTGCGTAATTTGAGTAAACAGTATGAAATGTTCGTGTATTTACTCCGTGCTCATTATTTGTTTATAGGTCATTTATAAAATGTGACGACAAATTTGACTGCAGTCTTTGCGTCCACAAGGGCATAAATCACTCACATGGAAAGACTACCTCAAGGCTCAGCTCAGTGACATTTAGTGTCTAAATACTATGACATGTAAGCGAAAAAAACTTGGAGTAGAGATGAAGACGAAGAAAATACGTTTGCCGGGAAAGCGTTCGCGTCGCGCATGGTCGCGCCATCATCACGAGTTTTTTGAGTGCTCTTTAGATTTACAGGTTATACATCCTTACAAAATATGTTTGAGATCACCTGAAATTAATATCGCAACACTTCTCTTGTTTCAAAAAATTATCATTTTGAGCTTTATTTATTGTCCCTGTTTTGGAAAAGGACTTTGACGTTATCACGAATGTTTATGTAGCCTTCGGTTTGGAATTCTCCGAATTTATAGCAAGTTGACCCCTTCCTAGCTCAAATTTCCTGAGCTATCCAAACCGGCACATAATGCATCGAAACGCGCATAATGCTTTGATGATTCGCCTGGCTTTTCCATAAAAACAGACTAATTAAGCGCAAACATGGTTGGTTACATAGCAAGGGTGAGTGAGCTGTGGCTGAAAAGGCGCAACAAACGCCAATCATCTTTCGAAAAGATGGAAAAAATTACATTGAGAAAGTGAAAAGAAAGGTAACATGATGTATTTAGCAAATTCATTTCACACCTTGCTCCAATAGTAAACACTTCATCACGGCCAACACCGCAGTCGTCACAATTTTTAACTCAGTTTTCGTTCACTAAGATCAACAATGATTAAAGTACTCGTTCTGTAATGTTCAAAAGATTTTGGATTCCCGAACGCTTAGAAGCGCATGTAAGTAATCTGAACAAAGAGTTTTGTAAAGCAAGCGAACATTATTTTGCTGAAGCACTGTGAAAGAGGTGAGTTTGCAAAAGTGGAGTCAAACTTTAAAGATGCGCATGAATGATTTGAGATCCGCAACAGAACAATAAAGAGAAGGAATCAAAATGTGCACTCATTGCATTTGTGCCAGCAACCGAGCTATTTGAATTTGAGACGTACGAGGAGGTCCAGAAAAGCTTTGAAATTGTATATTTTTCATAACTTTTAACAATTATTCGAATGGCAAATTGTCTGGTTATAGCATATCTGCGCTAATCCACGTTATTTGGAGAATGGGAAGCGCATATACATAGCATATACGAAAATGTGGAAAGTTTGGAAGTCGAGTTTCTGCAGGGCAGAAGCAACCTGAGGTCAAATATAAAAGGTAAAGAAAATAGCATTGTTGAAATTGAACAAAACGCAGCCTAATTATTGTAATGAAGACCACCTATTTTCAAGAGAAAAGGGTGCCACCACCTTCACTGTTATATTCGTGCTTTCAGCTTTCACCGTGCTTACTTAATCGCCTCAAAAATCTAGAAGAGAAAGGAACAGTGGTTAAAATTACATACTAGATAAGAAATGAATTCACATATAGGCATGTTTCTAGCCAGATGGCTTATTTCTTGTTCGTATTTGCGTGAGAAAACAATGGTTTATTGGTGAAGTTCATATGAAATAAATCCCTTCAAACTTATGATCGCCTTCGAGGTTTTGGTCTTCCAAAAACACTCTGCCATTTATAGCTAGCACACTGACGTAACTTTCCGTACGGTTTCCTACTTCTTCAGATTTGAGCGCAACCATGACCGTGTCCCTTGAGTTTGGAATAAAATCAAATGCAGAGTAACCCCTTTTTGGATGGGGTTCTCCGTCAATTTTTTTCACTACAATGTTTGCGAAGTTTTCATCAGCCGTAATCAGCAATTGGCATCCCCTAAATTGGAGAAATTATAAGTAGGTTATACCATTAAAAAGCCAGAGGTTCACTTTGTCTCGTCCTCCGTCTCATTGTAAGCTGTCTTTGAAGCCTTTCTTGGAAGGAAGAACCATTTTCTATGGACGCTAGACCATTGCACAGCTTCATGCGTCAAATAGCCAGGTTCTGGGTAGCCAGATGCATTACGTAACTTTGAGAATGGCCAAAACCAGTTCAAACTTTTCACCTAAAAAAAGTTTTTCATTTTCTTATTTTATAAGCTACAGTCTCACTTCTCCAGTCTTGGTGATAGTCTTGATCCACATCGGATCCATACTGGTGACTTGACCAGTTGACGTGTTTCTATACTCCTAAATACGTGTACTTTTTATAGCTAATAGACAGTTTTATGGAGGGCCATTGAGTAAAAAAAACGTGGTTAACAGTCGTATTACTGTAATTTCTTTCTAAAAATTCAAAAAGGAAAACATCAAATGATGCTCGAGAAGAATGTCTTCAAGAGTACTTTACTGTCAAGCAGTTTAGTAGAAAGATATTGGCTCTACTTAACAATTGCTAATAAAACCTATCGTATCTCAATATATTCACGCTGTTTTGGGTTGAACCAAAAGTTCTGTCGCACTATATTCAAAAAATCTTTCTTGAGACGCCTTGTCCGGCTTCTTCTAAGCTTTGATTGTAAAGATGAAAACGAAAGAAGGAGATTACGCGGTTAGTTTGAGCAGGTCAGTCAAAAAACTGAAAACTTTTTAGTAAATCAAAACAGTCAGCAGGATAGGTTTCACAATCTTTCCTTTTTGAGCGCCAAAACTTCTATGCGAATTTCATAGAAAGTTATAATTCTCGAGAATCGTACTAAAATAATAGGAAAACGAATAAATTTGGCATTTTTCACAAAAAACATGAATGTCTGTAGATACGCTCGATTAGTACGAACACTGTCAAACAAAAAGAGGTGATCATTTATGCAGTGACTGTTCTGCATTTTTTTAAAATCATGCTAGATTTTTGACGGGCTTCTCCAAAATAGCCCCATCTTGAGCAAACTTTTTATTTTATTCTCCTTCCTTTAAATTTCAGTAGAGAGCCTTCAAAGTATCTCAAAAGCCAATGATTTGCACTATTTGATGGAGTCTGAGCCAATTGAAATTATCATAACAAAAACGAGTTACTGGTTTTCAAAAACGGAGCAGCAAAAACCTTCAATCCAACTTGATATATAGAAGATTTTCTGGTTGATATCAAATGCAATGATTTGTCCCTCCAGAAAAAATCACGTTTTGGTTAAAAAAATTGAGCACTACGACGTGGATTATCGCTTTCTTTAGCCATTGCAGAATCTGGACGTCATTTAGTTCAAATACAGGGTGCAAAAAGTAAGTACACACTTTTCAATCGTCAATATCTCTCTGCCAACGGGTCTTTTTTTGCCGTTCAATTACCTTTCTGAGGACGCTTCAACTTAGATTTACAGTATCGATTGAATCACCGATCGCTTTTCGTTACTGTAGGATTACGGTTAGAACTTTCAGCATGTGGAACCATTGTGAAATATGCCATTTGACAATTTTTTTTTTGAAATCTAAAAAATCGTGCACTAGGTTTTTCGCGCACGCTAATTCCACTACACAATTTTTTACGAGTATTTTCAGCTTTTTGACGGTGTAATCACGTTTCTGACAAATACTGGGAATTCGGTTATTACGCCTTACCTGGGATAGCTTTGGAAAAAAGCACCATAATAAAGTGGAATTCATATCCGAAATCAGTGGCTTCCACTACCATAGTGTAAGAGTTTTTAGCTTATTTAGTTTTGCTCTGAGGCAAAATACGGCTTCCAATGGCCTAAAATCTTTGTCGAAGTTCCTACACTAATCCTACAGTATTGAAGACCGATCGGTGACCCGCTCAATGCTGCAAATCTAAGTTGAATTCTCCTCTACATAAAGGTACTTAAGCGGCGGAAAAATACACAATGGGAAGAGAGATATCAACGATTGAAGAGTGTGTACCTAATTTTGGGTCACCCTATATACTTAATTTTCGCTTACAGAACCGTGTCCTCCTGCGTAAAGGAGACCATCCTTCTCTGTGAGCCATTCCACTTTCATCCCGCTTGTCGTATTCCCTGGTCCAGAATTGAGGAAAAGCCAGGGTATGGCCTAAACGTCGCGCAATCGTTCTCTTTATCAGCTTAGGCACATTCTGCTTACTTTGCCTTTGCGTTTTGTAATATCATATACCAAACCAGTTTTATCATCAACAGTAAGAAGGCGATTGTTAAATTCCACAATATCCGACATCTCCATGGCACGTCCTTTGTAATTCAAATACCTAAGAAATACTTACAAATGCGGTAATGTTTCCTTAGAGCTTTACCCAATAAGTTGGTGATCAAGAGTCTCGTTCTCCCATTTGATGTCAATTGTCAGATTTTTTCTCAGAGTTAGATTACCCTCTCTTGTGATAGCCTTCCACTCGTCCTTCGCAGCGGCTTTCGCTTTCTTATCCATATCGGTTATAACCAAAAGTCTGTATGTGATCGAGTCATCAGCGTTTCTCCAAATTGTTATATTGCGTTTTGGAGCAGGCTAAAAATATGAGAAAAATTCTCGTTGCTACATATCCTTTTTTGCAATTTTTAGTACTTGTATCACCTGATAAGTTGAAAAGTTTACAATATTTTGTTTATAATCCCAAAACAAGAAAGTCTCAAAATCAAACATTTGGGGCTCCTGATGGTAAGGAAAGGACTACGTTTACATAACTTCCATACGTTTCGCAATCATTACACCAATCTCAGTACGTTGCTTGCTTAACCGAATGTTATTGCAATAGGAGGAAGCGACAAAGATGGTAAACTTTCAGATGGTGAACATCTGCTGATGTTGGCTTGGTTATGTAAATTAGCGAGAATTATGAAGTACTTTAATTGTATAGCCAAATGTGAAAATATGTACAAAATCGCGAAGTTTATTATACATCAAAACAGCAAAATATGATATTTTCTTGCGTTGCTAAAAAGCTTATTTTTTGATTTTATGAAAAAAATAGTTTGGTAAGCAAACTGAAATTTGCCTTTGTTTTACATAATCAGTATTCTGACTTCTCTAAGCGCACAATACCAGCGTGTGTGACTTCAAAACGCTGATTTCATTAGGCTCATGGCTCGGCGCGAGCTTGCACCGGAGAAAATCCAAATTCAAAAAAAAAATAGCTTGGTAAACAAACTGAAGTTTGCCTCATTCCAATACGAAATCCCCTTTGATCTTGAAAATTTCATACAAAGTCCCCTTCGACCCTAGATTCTAAACGTAAAAAGCCCTCAAAAAACGAAATGTAGAGTCGCGATTTTTGTGTCTTCCCACCACAGAAACGATATCCCTTTACTTTGTCCCAAAAACGATGTCCAGTTTGACCTGGTACCAACAGTGCCGAGCCCTAAATAGGTCTTTTACAGTAACTACAGCTTCGGTCTAATTGTAAGAATTCGCTGATTGTAAAGCTAACGACCTCGCGACATCATAATTTACCGCTACTTCTTGTGCTTACCGGAGGTGATGGTTTTGGCTTTGGTCTTGGCCTTGGTCGTCTTGGTTTCCTTTTCCCTTTCTGCTTCTTTCCTTTGTTCTTTCTGTTAGTCTTCTTCTTTCCAGTCTTCCCGCCTTTCTTTCCTTTCTTTCCTCCCTTTTTTCCAGCCTTCTTTCGTACTCCTCTTTTCAGTGCTTTCACTTTTGGTGCAAAAGCTATGAGTTCTCGCTGTAACGGTGATCGATGTAGCGAGATTGGTTCTGCTATATTCATGGTACTCGCAAAGCCCTGAATACGAAGTTTCATCCTTTTACAGCTCACTAAAAAAACTGAAAAAAAAACAACTAAAAGGTTACGTTGCTTTTCTTTCAATAGTTTTAGAATGGTAGCAAAGGGAGTACAATCAATAATGCAAGATAACTACGATATCGCTGCTTTAACAGTACAAACAAAGAAAATTCTTCACTCAGAAAGAAAAGCAATGAGCTTAGGCAGTTTTCAGTTTTTTTATCGTAGCAAAAAAAGATAGCAAAAAAGCATGTACATAATCTGTTAAGTGTGTCAGTTTTTTAAAATTCACATTAATCATGCACAAACTCACATTTTGCTCATCGCTGAAGTGTTTTTCTAAACTTACACCTTCACTCCTTTGCAGGTCTCCTTTGGCCTATAATTAAAGTTCTACATCTTGCAAAAGCTGGTTTGATATAGAAATATCATCTGGTTTAGGAGCATAAGAGTTCGATCGGATTTCGGGTTACCAAGAATGGAAATCAAAAGTATTTTGCTTTATTTATCACAAGAAGGTCCACAAAAACCTTTAAAAGCCCTATTTTCTTGGCATTCACTTCTACAAGCCATTTAAAGTCGAGATTTACATCTTATCTAACGGTTGAGAAAGGAGGGGGGGGGGGGGAGGGGAGGGAAGTATTGTTTCTTCATGAGAGTCACAGCTTTACCAGCTTTACCTCCGAAAGCAGTGTCTTGATTTCATCGTCATTTGCTGAAATATTCGATTTATCCATAAAAAATCGTCATAGACGAAAACTTACACAGAAACTGTTCTGCCTGGATACTCGCTATTAGTAGGAACACCTAATAAATTACATATTAAGGTAAATGTGTAGACGCAAAAAGTCACTCACAGCTGCGCATAATAGAACCATCAAATTTCACTTACATTGATTTTAGCCAGATTTTATACAATAGCTAAAGGTCACGCGCAGGATACAGATTAATGTAATCTCATCGTAAAGACTAAGCAAATTTGAAACTATCTTAACTGAACAAATAGCAGGGTTTATTATGTACAAATTGTGATTGTTTCATCTTCGCTAAGCTTAAAAAATGTAATATTAGCTTCGCCTCTTTCAACTTGTATCTGTGAAGAAGACTGAAAAACTAGAAGCAACTCCTTGGCATTTCTTCTAAGATGCCAAGACAGGGCTCGGCACGAGCTGGCACCAGGGAAATTTCAAAACGAAGTCCCGTTTGATATTGAAAATTTCGTAGGAAGTCCCTTTTGACCTGTTTTGAAAACCCGTCATCATTTTTATATTATGTAAAAAATGTAGTAGTGTTCATTTCTGATTCAAGAAAGAACTTTTCACAACTTTCTGAGCTTTTTAAGTGGTCGAATCACATATTGAGAAGCAGAAAAAGCCGATTTTTCGACTGCGGAGCGGGCAAGTGGTTTTCAAATTGCTATAAAACGCTGAAAAGAGAACATTATGAAAATGTTTGTTACCCGTATGTAATCTTTTACAGTGTAGATACATTTTATGTAAAAAAATATGAAGACTTATGTGAGCAAAGTGTCGGTGCCAGCTCAGCTGGCACCCAGCTGGCACGGTGCCAGCTAATTCAGAAAAAAGTTGGGCACAGCTTTCATTCACATAAGTTTTCATAAATTTTTGGCCCGTAGTTCCGGTCCACCAACGCGCATGCACACACCAAATTTGGTGTCATACTATTGCGTTTTGGCTGAAAACAACGCCTTTGTTTGTTGATGGACAGCTTGCCAATGGCATGCCGGTGGCATGCCGGCGGCATTTTTGCGGCAGTTCTCCGCCTCGGCCCCTGTGGAAACGATATCCCCTTTGCTTTCCGCCCTAAAAACGATATCCAGCTTGACCCGGTGCCAGCTGTGCTGAGCCCTGTGCCAAGATCTTCTTCTTACATATTTCACAACAATGTATGGGGGTCTTACTACATTTGACGACTCAAGACAACTACTTGCTTGAAAAATCTTCATCCCAAACAAATTTCCGAAGAAATCTCTCTGATAGATGAATCTACAAATCAGAATTACATCAAACCAAATGGATACGGCAAGTAGACACTGAATAAATATTATTATTATTACTACCATAACAGAAGCTTAACTCTCGTTTTATTTGACCATCCGAGCAAATTTACTGCATCCCTATTTCCTTGTTTAGTTCGAGACGGATAGTTACTGTATAATAGCGGGATCATAGAATAGTAGACATCGCACAGAAAGTTCTTCTTCACAAAGCTAGTTCTTTTGCCAAGGTATGATAAGCAATTTCGAAGCAAACCAAAATGTACAGTTCTGTCGCAAAGACAAGTCGAAAGGCTTTATTCTAGATATTCTTCTAATATTACCAAATGCACTGCTATCGGTTTCGTATTTAACACCAATTTATTACCTTTAGTTCTAGGGTTTTAGGTATTTTTAAAGGTTCCTAACCTTCCCTAGCGTTTCTTCTCTTGCCTGGTTCAAGCAGCATGAATCGTGATACTAGGTTTTCCGGAAGTTCTGTCCGTTCTGTAAAATTAACATTTTTGAACAAACCAGATCTTGCCCGATCAGGCGAAATTGTGGCTATCACGAATACTGTAGGCCATGTGAAAAATTCAAGTGCAAAGAAGAGAAAATTTGAAATTTTGCTAGGTTCCCTTTAGAAGCGACTAATCTGACAAACTAATGCTCCCATATAAGGATAGCCAGACAAATATGGCTGCCGTCATTAGGTAGCCTATACTCCGGAGATTAATTTATGGCTGAAGAAAATTCGAGTTGTCTTCCTGCATGAACATTCTCATGAGCAAATTGAAAAAGCCATTCTTATTTTCGCTCTCCTCCGCGCGCAATCATACCCTCTCTGAAATTTGATTTTTTTTTGCTGTACCGAAAGAGAAAAGCTAGTTGCTGGTGTTCCATGCTTGCTCTTGCTTTACTCTAACATATGCAATATTGGCAGCGTCATAGATCGCTAAATGTAGATTGCTGCCGCTTGTTGAATGTCTGAGCAGGGAACGATACTTGGTTACCCCGGCCATTCATGATGATTTGTGCATTAAAAAATGCGCCTTTTAGTGCTGGTACGAATACTGTTTTTTGTATCTGCGAAACGAGAATCTGGATGTAGTTATGATTATTTTTTCAAAAATGAATTGCGCTACGGCGAAGGGTGAAAATCATTTATAAAAATTTTTCTTTCTTCTTCAAATGCTGAATATTGTTCAGATAGGTATAAAAACAACGATACACCTTTCAAGATTCTTCTCAATAGCTTCAAACGGTAAAATAGATCAAATTGGGTGATTTTAATTACTTAAAATACGCAAATTCTCTACGAAAAAAAGTTCATAACTGCCTTCGAATAATCGTTTCGCAGATTTCGAGCACAGATTTAGAATCAGCGTTTCGAGATGCACCTTATGGTATATATCGCATTCCATATGGCCGGGTCACGAAGTATCGTTTCCTTGTGAGTTTGTCTTTGTCGCGGCTCGCGATCGACTACTCCTCACAGCATGTGGCCGGGAGCACCGTGTTGCCGCGCGTCTCGGTCGTAAGCACGGTCGCCGCGCTTTACGGCGGCTACCTTGTTCGCTCCGAGACCACACCATGTAGGCACGCCCCCAGCCACCGCTATAAATAGCGCGTACGCGCGCCAGTGCGGCCTCTCTCGTCTTATCATCTTACTATTATCGTCGTGCCGCCTTTATTATT